TATTTCTAATTGATAACTACTTTTTTAACAGTTTCTCGTTGGAAGCTAATAATTTATTTAATCCGTTTAAATGAGCTATTTAAAATTTAATGAAACTTGTTGAGGTGTTTCCTGTCTTTTCGAATGATAGTACATCTTAATTAATAAATTGTGCTATAGGACTTACCATGGACGAAAACACAAACTAATGGAACGATACAGATGTAGAAGAGACTCGTCATCTTACGGAGTATCTTGATCAATAAAACAATGTACACAAGAACTGACTCTTTCCTAAACAAACTATAAGCGAATACCGGAAACACACAACTGAATAAATCTGTCGGGGATGATGGTCGTCAAATTTGGTTGAAACAATCCGGTAATTAAAAGTAACGGATATTCATGAGTTGATAGCGAAACCAGTTTCTGAAAGTTCATAACACTGTACTGTATCACTGTAACCTTCAACAATAAAAACCGAAAGGTCCACTGATTAATCTCAGTTAAGAAAGTATAATATATACTCCAAGTATTGAAATACACGCCATCGTGTTGGGATTCAATATTTCGACATTAGTTATGTCAACATTTTCAATATTTCGACATTAATTATGTCATCATTCCTGATGATGACATAATTAATGTCGAAATATTGAATCCCAACACGATGGCGTGTATTTCAATACTTGGAGTATGTATTATACTTTCAACAATAAAATTGTAGGAAAAGAATAATAGGACTACTAAAAATAATACTATGTATAGAATATTTCGTATATCGTTTTTTTTTTCACTTTTTATATATCTTAGGCGTTTAGCATGTTTTTGAAATTCCAAATGTCCTGTTAAAACAGCCATGGTTGTTAAAATTTATAAAGATTCTTATTAATTATCTACTGATTAGCTCATGGTAAATGTTTTTGAACCATGGAAAACAAATAAAAAATCTAGTCCCTTTGCATTACTCTTTAAAATCAATCAAGCTTCTCCTCTTTTTGATTTACACAGCATAGGCCTATGATTCTAACATTATCAGATATTATTGTGAATTGCGACTACATTATTGTGGGTGGAAATAAACCTACCATCTATTTACGATCAAACAGAACTAATGAAATAGGAAGCACACATAAAACATTAGCTTAAACGTATTAGATCATTTTAATTTCACAACCATGACGGTGAATGTTAATATAACGCACTTACAGTAATTTATCATGACATCATCGGCGAGATTGAGTGAACGTAACATTTGCGATACCACTACCGGTATATAAATAAGTCGAAATATACAGACTTACAGACCAAGTATTCGTGTCATCGGCTGGGTTTGTTCAACAATGGCTTTATGAAATTCAATTGACTAATTAGAATTTAAATACATTTAGGCTTGGGTAATGAAACTTTTTTTAAATTAGGAAAAAACTGAAATCTATATAATAATAATAGGCCTATATTAAATACTTGCAATACACCACGTAGAATGTTCCTGTGTTGATGAGAATATCTCGATGTTTTGATTGAGCTACTTCAATTGTCATCAGGAAAAGTTAAAACAAGGAAATACTTAGGCATATGATTGGAAAGTGAACACCTAGTCTCACTTTCCAATCATATAAAATGTCCCTATTCCAGCAGGAGGCCACTTCTGGCTAGATACTTCTTTACTAACCCCTTTGATAACATATTTACATACTTTTACACATCAATTAATTGCACGAATCATACACTGACACTGCGTTAACTTCATTAATATTCATGCAAATTATTACCATACACAGTCGTTTACCGTGAGTCATAAAACTATGCATATTCATTAGTTTACGATTTAGTTACCAGTACTGTAAAGTAGAATGAAATACACATACATGGCACAATATTTTACATCATATAACAATCATGTATATTACATACATATATATAGTAGTAGTAGTAGTAGTAATAATAATAATAATAATAATAATAATAATAATAATAATAATAATAATAATAATTATAGCACTACTGAAACGATTTAGTGTTTATCTCTATTGTATCATAATTTATTATACTCACAATTCTGAATGATAGTCATCTACAACAAAAAGGAATTGTCTATATACAGAAAACAGTTTTCATAAAAATCAAGTTCGGTGAAAGCTTGTTTCTAACATCATAGTGAACGGGGCAGCAATTTATAAAATGAAATTCAGCTTCAACTTCACCTTTTTGACACAAGAGTACAAAGTATGTTTCAGCTTCGGTAGCCAATCTTCTCTGAATTTCATTGGTGATCAGTCTCACTACATATGATAGGACCGGAACATACGTGCCCAATCACATTGATGCCCACAGGTATGTATGTATGTATATGTATGTATGTGTGTATATGTATAATTATGTATATGTATATGTATATGATGTATATGTATACAT